TTTTTCGTTGTGAAAGCGAAACTACTTTGTTTGGTCTTCCAAAAGAGGACGATATCCGCTTCGTCACGCCTAGAGCTGATCTGTGCTGGTCGCTGAGGAAATACATCAACTTTGCGCTGTGGATCGCCGGATCGGCTTTCACCGTGGACAAAGCGGAGTCCAGCCCGGGGTCGTCACATGTGGTTGCCGCAAGCCCGCCGGCCGCTTCTTCGTCGAATCCCCCGGCCTCCGCTCACTCTAGCCGTCGGCCTCCGCTCACTCAAGCCTACTTGATACTAATGGGCTATTTGCATTTGAATTTCCATAAAAAAGAGATAGATAGATAGATAGATAGATAGATAGATACATAGATAGATAGTCTGACTTGGTGAACTGGTAAACAAACACAAGGCAGATGCATTGCTGCCACCCCCACCCATTCACACCTCTTTCCCATATAAACAGATCTGTGGTCTCTCAATCACTCCATGATTATCTCATATTTTCACCTCATACAGAAATATTTCCATTCTAATGCAGCAGACAGGGTGGACTACAAACACACCTATTCAGATGGTAATTTTAAGGCAAGCCTGCTTTAGGCATTCAAACGGTCCAGCCAGTAAATGCCTAGCAGTGATACATTCCATAGTCCACAAACATTTTCAACAAACAAGTTGAAATCTTTAGATTGTTGCTCTATTAGGGTTGTAAAACATGTTCACATGAGGCTTTGTCTTGCTTTTGTAGGATTAATAATGCTAATCTAAAGAAATGATCGTGAGCTTCCAATTCCCCTGAAAGAAACATTTTAAAACAGACAATAGATTAGAGAGATAAGAAGACTCTGCTCTAATTTGATGTTTGAGAATTTAGCCTATTTTTAGTTTTAAAATGCTAAAAATATATATATTTCTAAAATCAGGTGCATGATCAAATCATGGGTTAAATGAAATAACTTATTGGGCACATATAATCACAAGTAATTGTTTAAAAAATACATTTCATTTTCGTGTTTTGATGTGTTAAAATAGGCCTACGTTTTCAACTGAATGATAAATATTTAAGATTGTTAGTTCTCTGTTTTATCATTTTTAAAGTTAAATGTTTTAGTTAAAACAGAAAAGTTGATTAAAAGTTTTAAAACCTTTTAATTAAATTTTAACGTCATGTTTTAAAAATAAATTTGAAAAAAGTTGAATACATAAGTTGAGTAAAAAGTTGTGTTTTTATTTTCAGCGTAATTTTCTTAATAAATAAATAATTGTGTAGTTAAAAATGTAAAGCCTAAAACGCTAATATATGCAAATATAAATGTGAGAGTATTAGTATGGTTCAGGTAAATGGAGAAGAGTCTGGCTGCAGCCTTGCACTTGTACTCTCAGACTTGCACTCTCAGACACTTGCGCTTCCGCTAGCGACATCACTTGCAGTCTTTTATTTTTTTTATTTTGTTCTATTTATTGATTACTTTTTGTTTGAATCTCTCAACATTTTACAACAATGGAGACAAGACGCTGTGGTGATTAAACGATTAAAACTAATTTAGTACTATAACATACAGGGTCCTGCAAGAAAAAGACAAGACCCGTTATTCTGGGCTCACCTGCTTGCCTGTACATAGGCTATTAGTTATGTATATTAATAATGTAGAGGAGCATATTGAGTTTGGCCTTTTTAGTCCATTATGCCACGTTTTGCGGTATGGGAGGAAAATACTATATACATATTCATTATATTAATAAACTGTATATTTAATTTGATATTTTAATAGCATCTTAATACATTAAGTCATGTTAAATGTTTATGTTTTTCTACAGGAGGAAAACGCTTAACGAGGAGACTTTGTGCATTGCGTTCACATTCTGCTGTTCTGTGGCCACGGATTTGCGGCTCTTGTCTTTTTCTTGCAGGACCCTGTATGTTATAGTACTAAATTAGTTTTAATCGTTTAATTGAATCGTGTAATTTAGTTCCTTTCTTCTTGTCTTCACCACCTGGCTACTGTTGTAAAATGTTGAGAGATTCAAACAAAAAGTAATAAAAAATAGAACAAAATAAAAAATAAAGACCGCAAGTGACGTCGCTAGCGGAAGCGCAAGTGTCCGAGAGTGCAAGTGCAAGGCTCACAATGTCTTTATGTCTATACTCGTTTAATGTGAGGGGTATTCGTGATATGTTAAAAAGAAAAGCCATTTTTTTATATCTCAAGAAATTCAAGGCGGACTTTTACTTTTTGCAAGAGACTCATGCTTTAGGAACTGACTATTCATTTTGGAGGAATCAATGGGGAGATGATCTTTGGCTGTCCTGCGCAAGCAGTAACTCTGCGGGTGTTGCGATTTTGAGAGGAATGTTTAAAGGGAAAATACTTAAAAGTAATGTACACTCATCTGGAAGATGGGTAATTTTGGTACTAGAGATAGAAGTTAATATTATTATATTAGGGAACATTTATGGTTATAATAACAAAACCGAGAATCAAAATTTGATGCAGAGTTTTGAAGAGGTTGTAAAGCCTTGAACTTTATCATTTTTAAGGACCTTTGCACTTATTTTGTAGTTAGAGATATGGATTTGTTCTCAATACCCCTCTGTATATAGTTCATATTTTGTTGTTGTTGATTTATTTAGTTTTTTTCTTCTTCCTTAATTTGCATTATTATTATTTTTTTACAATCATTGTTTCTTTGAATTTATTGACATTTTTGCTTTTATTGTCAATTTGTATTTGTATGTGAATTAACTGTGAACTAAATAAAGCATTTATAACAAATAAAATAAAAAAAGAATGCAAGTGCAAGGCTGCAGCCAGACCCTTTTGGGTAAATGTGGAATGAAGGTGTGGACGCCGCCTCTCAGAAGTTGCACCTGATTGGTCCGAGCATCTCTTCGCAGTTCCGCCCCACCCACACCCACTCACCTGGCTTTATAAATCAGCTTCTCCACGCGTTTCCGTCTGGTTATGTCAAGGGGTCTGTTTGCGGGACTATGAGGAGAGCTATCACCGACATTCGTTTTCGAGGGTAGTTGAGCCCTGTGAGTTTTTGTAGTCGGGTGTTGTAAATTAGGTCATTATTTGGCCCTACTCTGCGTTTTTCTGACGACGGAATGGCGGATTGGAAGATGCCAGTAAGTTACAACTTCAGCCCATCTTATCATGCCTATGCATATGGGCTCATGTACCCGCAAGTGTCTGAACACGGCCAGCCGAATCTGAGCTGGGCTGAGGCCGCGTACACTCACTCCGGCGGGGTCACCGCGACCTATTACTCCGCTCAAACCGCACAGCAGTCGCCAACCTGGAGCCAGGAGAACGGCAGTGCCAGCAGCTACGGCCAGTGCCCGAGCCACGCGCAGAACGGACGGCTCTTCCTCTCGTATAATAAGACTGAGCCCGATCCGAAGGCGAAAGATGCAGAGCAGGCCAGCAGCGATACACCCAGTGATTCAGAGGCCCATACGCCAGGTAACCCTCCAATGACCCTAAAGCCTCACTAAATTGTTAGAACAATTTAATCTCAAATGATCCCCAGCCAAGGAGCTACTTATAATTTACAATTTCACCGTAAAAAGTTTTCTAATTTGTGAATCAACCAAATTGTATGTATGTATGTATGATTGTACTTCAAAGTTTCACATCTAATTCAATGTTTTACTTCTCCCTATTCTGTTGTGAGGTTTAGTAGAAATTTCTGAGTGAGAATCTTCATATTTTTTTCTTTATTAGGTATAAATGAGGTAGTTTTGAAATTAAACGTCTAACTAGCAAAGTACATGTTAAAATATTAATATATATTGAACTCTTTAATGAATGTAGACTTTTAAAAAAAATGTATGCATTTATGGTATGTAATGTGATTTTTAATATTTTGAATTTGCTTTAATTTTGTAATATGCTTTTGTCATCTTTCTTAGTTTTAGTATTTTTTTTTTTTTTTTTTAGTGAGCCACTTTAGTAAGTACTTTATTTCAGCTTTATTTCAATTACCAAAAACAATTTAGTCGTTTTTTTTTTTTTGGATACCAGTAAAGCTGCCCCGAGGTGTTCTGGTTTATAATCGCATGTAAAGGAAATGCAAGCAACTTTTATAAACCCATTTAACTGGTTCATCAAATATTTTCTGTACCAATTGTAATGGTCTACAACATTTATTTATTAGTTTATTTTCCATTTGAGTAGATTCCTGGAGCTCAGGCAGCAGTCGTGAGGGGGCCGCTCTGACCAACCTCAATATTCCATCCTGGGGAGATCGGGACTATGAAACGGACAGTGGCAGTCCTGACAGTGGAGAACTGATCTCATCTTCCGTCTCTGCAGCGAAAGAGGAGCCAGTGAGTCTCAATCTGGGGGTGGAAGCCTTGCCTCCCCTGCCTGCTTTGACCATATCTCCAGCCCGACCTCCAACCCAGACCCGCAAGACTCGGGCTGCCTTTTCTGAGGAGCAGATGAATGCCCTCATCCACCGGTTTAATATCCAGAGATACCTCACGCCTGCAGAGATGAAGACGCTTGCTGGAGCGACAGGACTAACGTACAAACAGGTTGGTGATTATAAAGAGAATGTTGAAAGGGTTGAGGTTTTAGTAGATTGTCATCATGATGATCAACTCCTTATTTCTCCCCAAAGGTGAAAACGTGGTTTCAAAACCGTAGGATGAAACTCAAGAGGCATCAAAGAGATAGTAGCTGGATGACGGAGAGATACGTCGTCAATGCCGTACCCAGCACACCAGCTCCTCACTCTCAGGTGAGTGTAGTTTCATGTCAAACCATTTATTAAGGGTGTGACCGTGGTTTGTCATGATATATCGCAATAAATAAATAAAAAAATATCATGAATGGCAACAGCATGTATTGTGTAGATTAAGTTTTAAAGACATCTTTAATTTGGGCTTTTATTCACATTTAAACATTTTGATGCACATTAAAAAATTAGTGCATCAAAAATGGTAAACCTGGAAGGTTGCTTACATTAATAAAATGCGAAACTAAAATAGATTGCTTTTTCAACATTGATAAGAGATGTTTAAGCACCAAATCAGCATATTAAAATGATTTCTAAAGGATCAGTGATGCATCATCTCTTAGAAGTAATGATTAAAATTTTTTTTAACTGTTTGGCTTTGTTTAAAGCAGGGGTGCCCAAACTCGGTCCTGGAGGGCCGGTGTCCTGCAGAGTTTAGCTCCAACCCTAATCAAACACACCTGAAGCAGCTAATCAAGCTCTTATTAGGCGTACTAGAAACTTCTAGGCAGGTGTGTTGAGGCAAGCTGGAGCTAAACTCTGCAGGACACCGGCCCTCCAGGACCGAGTTTGGGCACCCCTGGTTTAAAGTACTGTGAAATCCGTATTGAACTGAATCATGGCGGTGTATGTTGCACCCCTCTGTGCAATTAAATTCAAAGGGTCCAAAACAAAACTTTTTTTTTTTGCCCGTGACGGCAGCGATGCAGCGAACAAAGGCAGCCCTACTCAAATGCCATCCATGCTTGGTGCCGCCCAGTGGACAACGAAAGAAATGACTTTGCTGTGAGTCCGGCTGCTTTTGTATTTTCAATTTCAGCCCCCCCGCAGCCTTGGGCGTTCACTGTATTTGTAAATTTTATTTTTGGCAACAAACTGTCATATTTTTAGGCAGTGATGTCATGGGTTGCCAGTTGGGGCCAAATGAGACGTGTCAAGATTTTTTTTTTTTTTTGTAAAGTTTGCCTTTTTAATACACTCGGCATGTTTTATACCGGAGATCTATTTTTATAACTTCATTGTACCTTTCAGAGTATTTAATATCTTGATCCTTTGCTCTTTCAGATGCTTGTTTTCTTTTTTGATTTAGTCAGGACAAGTTGATTTCTTTGAGCTACATGAATTTGTATATATGCAAGGCACTGCTCTAGATCTGATACGGGAAAAGGTTGTCTGTACTGCACTGTTTTGTTCTGTGTATTAATTTCTCTGCGTTTCACTGCTTCAGTGTATGTGATCTGTGCTACATTTGTACAATTTCTTATATAAATAAAAAAATCATGCTCGTCTGTACAAATGGAACAAAACATTGTAATCGCCACTGATTTAAGCTTGTGCTTGCAAAGTACTCCCACCCACACAAACACTTTTGACCCAGTTGAGCAATAAATTTTATCTGAAGGTCTACTTGAGTCTTTTTTTAAAAAAAAATTTTTTTTTTTTGAACTAGTATGTACTTCTGTCTTTAAGCATTATTTGCTATTATTGGTTAACCATGCTGCTTAATTTTTGGCACTTCTATACTCTCTTCCTTGGGGTGAATATATTTTTGTCAGACAGTTGTCACGTGAACTTATGTATAGTATGCTATACCTAACAGTTATTCTTTTCTTTGTGTTAATAATAGAAATTTACAACTAATTTAAATTAGATTATAATGACTTTGACATTTGCAGGCCTGGATCCAGAATCAAAACCCTGAGGTTGCTTCTGAAATTAATAAGGGTGCTCTAGCCTTAATGACCAGTGTTGGGGAAAGTTACTTTTAAAAGTAATGCATTACAATATTGCGTTACTCCATAAAAAAGTAACTAATTACGTTACTTAGTTTTTATGGAAAGTAATGCGTTACGTTACACTTGCGTTACTTTTTAAATCTGGACGGGGCTTGTTTGTTTTTAAAATAAAGTTATATTTTTGGCAAATATAAAAGCCTTTTCACACCAAAAGTGAAATGAATAAGCCTCAGGCTGAAGGGAAAGTAAATTTACGTCCGTACAGTAGAACGCAGA